AATATGACCTGAAATCCAAAGTCGATTTTTGTCATAGGCTTCATAAATACCCCAACACATACTACTTTTCATGTGGATTAGAACCTCATCAGATAATGGCAAAATCACCATTTTTCGTACAACATAACATTAATCAGTGCAAGAAATTGACGTATTTATTCTTTTGATACATGTTCTCTTGAATAAAACTGTACTTCCTAATAGTTTGATTTCCTTAACTTAATTACCTTAGAAGCTTAGTAGATAATCAGGAGCGCTGAATAGTAAATGAGAAAATGAATCATGCAAAAACTACCTGGCTGGTACAGAATTTATGAATGACATATCCTATCCAGAAACTTGATAAGAATTGGGCTACATGCCCCTCAAATCCACTTATGCATAGAAGAATCTCTCTGATATTATAAGAAGATAATGACAGCTAACGTTGATGAGTACAATGAAGTGGAAGTTAGTTTTAATTCTTTGTTTTAAGAAAAATTGGAAGGATAACTTCACAAATTTATGTTAAAATTAAAACTAATTTTAAAACAACACACACATATATTTCTTATAATTCTTTTGCAAAGAAACAGGCAGTGTTTACATCTCATGCTAATTTACATCTTGTGCTAAAGAATGTGAGTCTCATGTATTTTAGGTTCGTAGAAAATGATATATTTATCTGGACAGAGATGTGTTAGTTTCAAGTTGTGCACATTTAAAGTAAGTGCAGAGTTTCTTATATTTTATTATTTTGATTTTTAAAAGTTTAATTAATTAATTAATTTATTGAGACAGAATTCCATTGTGCAGTGAAAACTGACCTTGAGCTTACTTTGCAGCCCAGATTGACCTCAGACTCTCAGGGATCCTCCTGCCTCACTCTCTTAAGTACTGGGCTTACAGACATGTGCCACCACACCCAGCTTAAATGTTAAATTAAATCACAAGCAATAAAAATTTTATAAAGATGCAACTTTCTTTGCATTATTTAAACCTTAAATTTAATATTTAAACACTAAAATAATATTTACAGCAGCTATAATTTGTACATCACTTATTCATGCTACCTTATTATGGATAAGAACATACAAAAGTGAACTTCAACAGTCTTACACCGACTGAGTTGTTGCCATGGTGAATTTAGTGTCTACAGAAGAGTATGTGCACTGATTATGCTAGAAGTTTCACCCAAGCAAAACACTATGTTTATTAAGCAGGTGATGTTATGAAATACAAATCAACTATGCCTCTTAAAATAAGCATTAGAATTAATCAAACTTTAAGAGATTAGATAAGGAACGTTTTCAATAGCTAAAAAGACTTTTTGTTTGCATGTGGGAAATTTAGTCTTTGAAAAGTTCTGTCAAGAAATTAAAATTTATGGGATGGTTTTCTGATATAAATGGAGTTATAACAGGGTACATGTGAAGTAAAACTTTGTTCTTGGAACCATCATCTGAATCTTTCATTCGGTAAGTTGGAAACAACCCTATTTTACCTTGTGAGTAAGTCTTGCGTATTGATTATATTCCACATGACGGTGTTTTCCAAAGCTGTTTACTTGATGACTCATTCATTCTCATCTAACAGTTATGGTTTCTGATTTTGTGATTTTATTGTAAATGACTATATCCACTAACAAAACAATCATGAAAAATAAAAATTCTATAAAGCAATATATAGACTTTGTTCTCTTTGAATTTAAATAGACTATTTTTTCCTAATTACTCAATTTTTTAGACTAATCACTAGAAGTACTTTGACTGGTTATGAAATAATGACTGGAAATAATCTATGTAAGTTTCACTTTAAATCCTTTATGGCAACACTATTTCATTTTAAAACCACTTTTAAAAAATTATTCACACGTTTGGATCAAATAATCAAAATAACTGCTCAAAGCCCTAATACATTTATCCCAAATAAAAATCTTTCAGAGTCTCTCTATTTAAATCTGTCTTAGCAAGGCTTTGATTTCCACTGACTTTCAAATTTAATTCAAAAGCCTCTTCATTAGTATATTAGTGGTTTGAAAAAAAACTCCACGGTTCTTATCACAATACAGTCCAACTGCAGACTATGTGTTTTGTGGCAGGTCAAATAGTGTAAGATTTTATTTAGTATGCACTAATAATATATATCATAAATTCATAATTTACTAAAGAGATAATTTTATCTGGATTTCCAATGAACTTTGCTGGAGTCTCTTTGGGAAGTAAGAATCTATGTTATCTTCATCATTATTGTTATTTAAATATGAAGAAATAAATCTTCTGCCATTAGCTGACACATAGCTTCCCATGATCTGGCTTCAACCAATCTGCCTATCCTTTTTGTCCTTTCATACCAAAGGTCCAGAAAACCACAAGACCCTCCTTTTCTTGGAACATAATTCATGCCATCTCCTTTCTTAGGCATCAACCATGATATGTGAAAGGCTTTGCCTTTTCACCTGGTTCACTGCAAGTTTGTAAGCTGGCACTAGCTGCTCCTATTTCCTTCATGTTTGCTTCATGCCACGTACTTTACTAACAGCATTATTTAATTAATGCCCTGTAACAAACCTGTTTTACAGATGAGGAAACTTTGGCTAGTCACTCAGTTCAGAAGTTCAAGTGGGTAGTCTGACTTCAGATTTTACCCTTAATACATTAATAGTATGATATATTGATATCACATGTCAGTAAACGCTCAAGAACAAGAGTAAACAAATACTTCCTTCATGGATATTTCATTGACCATGTCAACTTTTCTTTCCTATTTTTGCCTTGTATCTTTCTGTAATTACATTCTTACCACTGACAAAATTAGTGATGTGCCCATCTTGTTTTTATTTTTAACCAGTCAGTTCAGTGCCCCTTGGAGACCATGTTATGATCTATCCTCATAACCTCTGTAATAAACAGTAAAATTCCTTTCATAAGCAAAGCCCTCTATGAATACCGCTTATATGAATTTATCAGTAAAGGGATTAAGAGATAATTTAGACTGAGTCACAAATGACTTACCAAAACCAAGTTGAATCTACAGCCTTTAATTTGATAAACATAATGATCTCAAATGAATATTTATTTCTTTACAAGTTTGATCTTTCTTTTGTGTTGATCTTTTTTTTTTTTTTTTTTTTTTTTTTTTGTCTTTTTCATTTTTATCGGTACCGGGGATTGAACTCACGACCGCCTGCTTGCAAGGCAGGTGCTTATGCCGCTGAGCTAAATCCCCAGCCCCCTTTTGTGTTGATCTTATAAAAAATTTTAAACTTGTTCATTGATGCAAATGCATAATTTAATTTCACTGAATCCAGAAAATAGAATTCAACCTAGGAACCTATGTGAATTTTGACCAAACAACCTATGAAAGATAGAAATAATTCTTTATAATAATGACTGTATACATATGTCTTACTTATTTGCTTTTACCTGAACTGATTCAATTATCTAGTTTTATATGTACACATGTATTGACTCATCTAGATAATATTAACTAGTATGAGAAGAGAAAAAATCATTTAATTTTTATTTTACATGATACTATGATAATGTGTGCATCTTTTAAACTTTCAAATTTGAATTGTATATTTGGATATTACTTAGAGGTGATGTTTGTTTACTCACACTATTTTTGGATGTTGAAGTGGAGAGTGACTTGTAGAGTATTTGAGGCTCAGAACTCCCTAAATAGCCACATGTATGATGTAAAATTATTACATATATGAAGTTTCTTTTATCCTTTCAAACTGAAATTTAGTATATTTGGTGGCAAAACATACATAATTAAGAGTTATTTCAGGTTGACAGTAACTTGCAGAATTTAGAACAAGGATTCCTGGAGGAGTTCAATCTTACAATTAAATATGATTTTTAAATTTTAAACTCTGCACTTTAAAAGACTTTATCTAACTTGAAAAATTAAGACATAATGACTAATCATATGAAACACAATCTTATCATGGTTAAAGCATGTTAGAGTATCTCTGGAAAATGAATCACTTTGGAATAGTTTTTCATGTACTCCTAAATGGTCATTCTTGCTTACTGATTTAAGCTCAAGTAATGAATCCATGCCTGTTAAAAGCATTATGGATTATCAATAATAGAATGTCCCAATAAATTATCTAAGTAGCATCAACTTAAAAACCCAAAAGTACATGGCAGCTATGGAATTTGGAGAAGAGTAAAGAGTTGTTTTTCCAATTAGATTCACACTAGGAACAGTGCTGACCTGTTTCATTTATATTTGATGGAAGGAATGGATCTTTAAGGCTTTCCTTGAGAATCACCTTAAGTAACAACACAAGAAGCTTGTTAAGTCAGTTACTTGATTTAGAGAAAACTATGACATTTTTTCCCTAAGCAGGTAGGTGCTCTATAGAGTGAATTATTCACCAATTAGATTGTTGCATTTCTTACCATTGTTGCTTGCTCACGTTATGGCCTAGAATTTACTAAAGAGTTTTCAGAAGTATAGTACCAGAAAGCCAGCAAGGGAAAATTAGCAGCAGTGTTTGCTGGGATCATATGCACTCACAATCTCCTTCCCAGTTACACCACATTTTTCTTTTTGTCATACCTGTGTTGCTTCTGATGTACCTTAGGCACTGTTACCAGAGATAAATACATAAGTATCAGTCCCTGCTTATCCCTCATACATGAAAAGGATGAAGCACTCTCAATTTGATTTCCCTCCTAAAAGGCATAAAAGACCGAGTGACCCTGCCCTTGACAGGTGCAACTCCAAATCACCAACCCTGGCCAGCCCTTTGCAGAATGAGACAGTGGAAATTGAACCCCCTCACCACAAGTTTAAACAAAGCCATCTAATTTGGTTTTAAACCCAGTTAAGGGGAAAAAGAAACTTATAAAAAGACAACACAAAGAAACATAGCTTGCCAGTAGGAGCCTACATGCAGCTAGAGGAGATTTATGATTTTGTTTCCCGAGGAGGGAGCGACTCGACTAACCCACGCACACTGACCATCACTATAAAGAGGTAAAGAGTGAAATGGCTCAACGTACACACACCCCGCTCCATACCGGGGACGAGTCTCCGAGCTGAGGCTTGTGCTCTCGGAGGGCCAGGCTGAAGCTGACCGCCCCCACGGCCACGCTGGACACCCCCAGCCCTATCTCCAGCACAGAGAGCACCAAGAGGCTCCCAATAATCTGGCCGCTGGTGCACATCCTTCCTGGGTCATCATTCCTTCCAGATCAGAGAGGGAAACCAACCGTCCACCTTCTGTCTTCCACAATCCTCCTTCCCCTTCACCCCCTACCAGATCCCAAAACTTTTGTTTCTTCACCAGCAAAACATTTATCCACCACGACTGGGTTTTCAGAACCAGATATCCTCTTCCCTGGCCCCGACCAGAGGCGAAAGAGCTGTTCCACCCCCTGGCACGTTCAGACCAGGACTGGAGAGGAGTCTTGCTGGGCTGGGGGTGGGAGTCCGGGAGAGAGCGAGGCAGGAGCCGGGCATTCAGGGAGCCGGACCCGGGAGCCTGGGCTGGAGCTGCGCTCGCGAGGCGCTGTCCAGAGTTCTGCCGCGTCCGGGTCTCCGCAGGGAGCCGGCTCCCTGCTCAGCCTCAGACCTGTGGACGCCCTGCCCTTCCTGCAGGCTGAGCGCTGCTCCCCGGAGGTCCAAGGCTCAGAGCATCCCTCCGCGTCTCCCCCTCGCCTCCTCGCCTTTGTTTTCGTGGCAACGCGCAGCGCTCCTCGAGCTCCGCGGGGCGGATGGTATTCAGCACCACGCTCCTCCTCGCGGCTGCTGTGTCGCCAGCAAAGGCGACCTTGTCTGATGGCCTCTTTCCGTCTGGGTTTTTTCTCCGTCGTCCTCGTCCTCTTCCTCCCCCTCTCTCTTGATCTGATTCTCTCTCATTGCTATGACCTCATTGGGATTTAGAAGGTTGACAGAGGAGGGCGAAATCTGATGTATGTGTGGGTCCTGGACCAATCCTCGTGGCTGGCCCTGGACCCGTCCCTCCCGGGACCCTAAGTGACCACAGGAATCCAAGCCATCCCTACCTCCGCATCTCCCCCTCGCTCCCTTCCGGGCTTCTAGCCAGCAAGGAGGGGAGGCGATGCCTACGTCAACGCGGGGCTCATTTGGTGTAAAACTTTTTTCTGCATCTGCATGGGGTGGGGACCAAAGAAAGGCAGCGGAGGAGAGGCTGGAGAAAGCCCAGAATCCTAATTTCACCCCAACTCTGCAAGGCCCTCGCCCAGAGACTCCTGCGTCCAGATGAGTGCTTAAGGAGAGCCCACGACCTGTCACCTTCCAGGTCTGGAGCCCCAGCACGTGGCAAGAATGTGTCCCCAAGCTCCCCAGCTCTCAAGAGCCTTGCCCCCCTTAGGTGCGTTCCCTGTCACTTGCTCTGGAGATGAGCAGTCAGGTCCCGCCCTTTGGGATCCTGCATTTCCACTCAGATTTGACAATGATATTTGTTTAAACACTGTGTTGGACCAGACTCCTTTTAAAAAAAAGTCTGGGTTTATGCACAACTCTTTGCACCAGTCTGCCCTGGTCAAATCATTAGGGCTGGGAAAGCATGGCTTGAGTATCTGTGTTGTCATCTTTAAAGTTTATGTGACTCTAGATGTCTGGCGATCATTGTTTGAATCGCATTTTAGCTTTCCTGATTTTACTTCAGGAACTAAATCTCAAGGTATTCCATCAAGGGTATTCAGGAAGTCAGGAGGCCTAGGGGAGGTCTCGAAGTGTGGATCACCTTTCTCAGTAAGTGGGTTTTCCAGTTAAAGATAGACGGGAGGAAAATAGATCAAAGGAGGATGGAGTGAGGGTGTAGCTGGGAACCTTAGCTCTAACAGCCACTGCAGTGCAGGCGCCTCTGTGACTTAAGTGTCCTCTTTAAATGTCCCAAATGCTAAGAACACAAAATCAGAGTGACCTATAGCCCAATTTCTATAGCATAAGTGCCAGCTTCAATTTTCTTAAAATTTGATTCAGGGCTTGTATCACAGCTTAAATTCAACTACACAACAGTATTTGTTTTCTTTTTGATATATTTATTCTATAATTTTAAATTTTTAGTCACTTTTTCTTACAAATTAAATAATGTAGCAATTACCAGTTATATTATTGTAATATTTGGAGGAAATATTTAAACCTTTATACTGAACAATAATTGGCAGATTCACTTTCTGCTTAACGCATGGTTCACCCAATGTCCAGTTTTTAGAAACCTCCAAAAGCACCTATGGCCTCAATAATGCATAGTTTATTTAAACATTGCAGATGTCATCTGAATGATTAAAATTTTGATACCAAAATAATGAATATTTTTGTTGTCTACTTTTTGATTTGCATTTAGTCACTACTGCTTCAAAATTAAATCTCTTCATCCTCTTTTGGAAATGAATAGCAAGTTGTAGTAACTAGTAAAATAAATTGACTAATGCAGTCCTGTAGTTAGGAGACTAAGTTTTTGAAAGAGAGCTCATTTTTGTATGGAACGCAGAACTGATGTTAACAGCATATGAATTTTAAAGAGTAAAGCAATGAGCAAATCATGCATTGTCTGGTTTCATTTTTGATAGATATGGTGGCTAGAAATGAGATTAAATGCTCCACAGCCATGTATATATGGTCATATGCCCAAATATAATTGCTGTTGATTATGAGTCATTGTTATAATTTAAAATTTTGAGAATTAAATTTTGCATAAAACAAATTAAATCTCCCAATGAGTCACAATAAATCAGAAATATTTTTAGAGATAAAATAAGAACAACCATTATTTTCAGAAGATTTTACCACCCTGTGTTTGAAAACATGACTATCAATGCCAGAATTTTCAAAAGATCTTTACATTATATTTTCTAGGGCTTAAAGTATATTCTGTGTGCTTTTTAAATCAATGCCAAGATTCTCACAAAGTAAGCTGCACATATCTAAATTTTCCTTGTAATCATGACAGTAATGGAAAAAATGGGTTCAAACTGACAGAATTATCCTTGTTATTATCATCATGATCCTTCAAAAAATATTTGTTACAGAAATACTAGGAGGGTTAACCATATGTGAAGCACATTGCTGTCCAAATTCCAAAGACCTCACAATTCAAGGATTTAATTCCTTATGTTGTGATACATCAAAAGTGTTGCTCATTATATTCATTGAAAAATAACTCAGTCTTCTACATCTTTGGTAAGAGCAATGGCACAAAAAATTGCAAGCTTGCCACCTGCTGGCTTGTACATGACACAAGTGAATGTGTGCAGTGTCAAAATAATTCTTATAAATTCAACTAATAAAAAATTCTTCATAATTGTTCTCCTTAAAGAACTAAGTATTGAAGTGTTCTGAGGTCTCTGTGTATGTATTCACCTAAATGACATTTATAGACATTTTAACACATAGAACATGCTATATGCATGAATTGTTATGGTTTGGATGAGCGTCCCCCAAGAACTCATGCATTGTGGGCTTGATCTCTGTCCCATAGTGCTACTGGGAAACAGTGGTATGTAGAGCAAAGAAAAGAGGTCCGTGGGCAGGGAAATGTAACTCTGAAGGGGAGAGTAGGCTCTCACCCCTTTTTATTTCCTTTACATTGTTTCCTAGCAGCTGTGAAGTGAGCATATTTCTTCATCATGTGCTCCTTTCTATGAAGTCCTGCCTTTCTACAGTGCACAAACTAATGGGACCAACCAGCCATGGACTGGGACTCAAAAGCTACAAGACTGAGCAATAAAACTTTCCTCTTTTTAACTTATTTCAAGTATTTTATTACAGTGACAGACAACGATTACATTTCCTGTTCTACTGTATTGAGGCACATGACAAAACGGTAATTTCAATCACTAATATAGAATTCTTTAAAAGCTTCTAAACTTTAAATGATTAGTTTCAAATATCATAATCATCATGGTCTCATTTATAGTGTGTGATGTATCTAAATTTTTATGGTGGTCATAAGCAATGGACTGAATGGCTAATATAGTATGGAAAATTAGGCAAATGAAAAAATCACAAAGTGATATGAAACAATTTAGCAGTTTTGAAGTGTTAGAGGACCATTTACTGTCTTAATACCATTGACCATGTGATTAGAAAAGATGGCACCTAAAGATTTACCTCAGATTTAATGGAGAGGTTCTGCTAAAAAAGAAAGAAATATTTTGAAGATTTTATTTCTTACTTAAAAATAAAGAGATAATAAAATCAGAATATATTTTTTGTTTTTTCTTTGCTTTTAGTGGCAATGCAGCTTAGAAGTCATTATCCAAAAGTACTTTTAATTTTACAAATATTAATCTGAGAAAGTATAATACTTAGTACTCTATTTAGTATAAATTTTCACTTATGTCTGAAATATCATATCACTCTTAACCTTTGAACATGCAAATATATATTTAAATCAATATAGCATATGGGTATTATAGTGATTTCTCATTTTTAATTGTGTGAATGCCTTCATTCTTAGCCATTATAAAGAAAATAGGATACTCTCCAATTATACGTAAAATATACAGTTTACAAATACAGCACCAAAGTACCATAGAATTGTGATCTACCATAGAAAAGAAACAAGGTTTCCTGTCTTGGTTTTATAACTATGAGAAATTAGTAGTTTAACATGAGGAAGACTCTCAGAAATGAATGGTGGCCTTACAGAATTTAAATATCAGAATTCTTGGGAGCTGAGTGAAAAACTGCATGTTTCTGTTCCTACAGTATTTATACTACATAGTGAAAGGTTAAACCTCAATGCAGTGTATTAAGAATTGAGATCTTTGGTGGAGGAAGGGAATGAGGAGGATGAAGAATAGAATGGAGGGTGGGGAAGGGGTTGGTAACGGGATTTATATGACGCCCAAAGGGGCAGAGTCTTCATAATAGAATTAGTGTTCTTTTTCAGAGAGAGGCTAGAATTCATTTTCTATTTCATGTGAGGACACGAAATGTGACTGATCTTGCTGAATGTGACTTGATCTTGATTTCTCCAGAATTGTAGGAAGTAACTTTTTTTTTTTTTAACTACCCAGTTTGCAGTCTGTTGTTATAGCAACCTGTCATGACTAAGCTACTAAGGGGGCCGAAATTTTCAGGGCTGAGTGCTGAAGGAGAAGAAGACAGAGAAAAAGAGACTGATAATCTCTGCAGGGAATTCTTGAGTCTGCACCTATATTGTAAATTGTATAATTATGGACTGCAATTCTGCAATGCTACATGCAAAATTTCAAGTAGCATTGGCCATGTTTTTCCAAAGTTGGTGAGAAATATGAACTCACTGATTGAAAAAGCTCAATAAATGGCACCTAGGATAAATATACCAAAGCAAGTCTCAATCAATTGCTGGAAACCAGTAAAAATGATTAAAATTGAAAAACTGACAGAGCATAAAGGACACATTATACAGACAGGCACTAAGGCAAGACTTTTGGACTCCATATTTACTGTGTTTGAGACACAGGACAAGTTGAATGACTTTGTAAAGTGCTAAAATAAAAAAAAATACAATGAAGCCCTGCTAAATCTAAAAATTATATACCCAGCAAAAATATCTCTCAACACAAGTTGATAGAATCTATTACCATATGATATCCACTGTAAGTGATGTTAAAAGAATTATCCATTAAGCAGAATTATGTAATAAATACAACTGAACCTATATAAAAATGCTGAGGATTATGTTGATATAATATCCATAACCATAGACAATGCTTTTACTCAATTAAAATTGTCTGTTGAAAGAAAACTAACACGTTTTTAATGCTGTAACATATGTGCAACTAAAATATATAATAGCAAGCACAGAGTTCATGGGAAGAACAAAATGAAAAAAGACTGTTGTAAAATTGTTAAACTATTTGTGCATTAGTTCAGTATTAACTGAGATTAAGTGTGGTAAGTTAACAATAAAACTACAAGCTGTAAGGTATAACAACTACTAACACCATAAAAAGAAACAACAAATAAAGCAAAATTAGAGATGAATACTCAACATTAATATACTGATTTTAAGAATAGAAGAAATGATTTATAAAAAAAGAAC